AAAAAGTGTGAAAAATGATGTGAAAATCGAGTATAAATGCATGTGTGAATTTCATAGTAGTAACATATAGGAATGCAGCTCAAATTTCTTTGTATTCTTTCTGTTGTAAGTAAGTGGTATTTGAATAATAGTATTTCCCCAGAAAATCCGATATTTTCTGATTTATAAAAATGTCACGGTCTTTGCACTGTTGCAATGTTTTGTATCATTATGACTTATGAGTTATTAATTTTCCGTAATGTCTTAATCGGAATGGATCTCTATATGAGTCGTTATAACCATACATGATAGTGACTGATTTTCCTGTCTTGGCATTTTTCCAAACACCGCATTTTCGATCAAGGTTTTGTCACCCTAGACTGGCCTAGTTTAACTGTAGCGAACAACTCAGGTGTGGGGGAGTCACCCCCGTATAGATCTATACACAAACTCTCGCTCTCAGTCTAGGAGACTCTGATTATAACTACAAGCTACGGCCATACACTCAGTGGTGTCAACCGACATGTCTCACTAGATCCCATTTGTTTCCACATGAATTTGTATAATGTTATATGTGTTTAGAAGTTCGAACACTAGATGATGTATGAAAAGATAAGGCCCAACAAACATGAAGAAAAGACAACTATGGCCCATTACGTGTAAGTTATTTCCAGGCTAATTTAGCATGTAAATGGGCCACTAAGGCCCAATAACATGTAATGAATACATTGGGCCCAATAAATATGTAATTGGATCACGAAGGCCTAATAAACATATATAGCAAATACTAGGCCCAATAATCGCACCATTGTTGTATTTCGTTTAATCGAATTATTTATCCGTAGCGTTTTAAAAAGTCCAATGTTTTATTGTAATGATATTTTTAGTTTGATACGTCAAAATTCTATAATTTGAACCCGTATTTATTAAAAATTACACTTTAGGTCCATTGCGAATTAATTTGAACATTTAAAGGCTTATTTTACATAAAATGTCATTTTGGTCTATTTTAAATTAAAAATAACATTTTAGTCCATAAATTTATAAAAATCTATATTTTCGCCCCAAAGGTTTAGTGATTGACGGGTTTGGCCCAAAAATACATGTAATGACATTTTCAGTCCATTTATGCAGAAAATTACAAATTCAGCCCTTATTTGCATAAAATGACATTTTCGGCCCAGTTTTTATAAAATTAACATTTTTGGTCCAAATCTTGAGATAGTGTCATTTTCAGCCCCTAATCTTGTTTATTCTCATTTTTGGCTCGAGTTTTGATTAAATAAAAATTTAATCCCCAAAAATTGACATTTTTGCAAGTTTGGGCTAAAAGTGAAGTTCAAAACTCTACTCAAAGCATCCAAATTTTGTGCCAAATTTTGTAAATCCCCACATTAAGGCCTTACATATCTAAGCATCCAAATAGTCAATTAGGTAGTTGAAAATCATCTTTCCTTGGTAAGTCCTTACATATCTAAGTTGTAAATCCCCACATTAAGGCCCAAAATGCCAAATTTTACACTTTTGACCCTTAGAGAAATATGGTTGTTATAAAAACTCATTTTTTAGCTAATAATACCCTTTTAGTCCCTATAAAACCGTGGGTGTCACTCTTGACCCCAAACTTTTGTTTATTTGCCAAAAATGATCCTTATACAAGATTTTGTTTGGTTTTTCACAATTTAGGCATTTATAACACTTTTAACTTTGTAGTATAGTGTCTAGAGTGTTTTTGTTGGTGATTCTCACTTATTTTTATTAGAGTTTTATAGATCCATCGAGTTTATCACTCAAACACAACAGAAGCCAAGATAATCACACACATAACATGCATAAATACATAGATCTACACATAAATACTTGTATTCTCCCCCAAAAACAAGTGAAAACCGAAAACAAGGGGGTATGAACTCGCCTTTGCTTGTTGTTCTTGGTTTTGAATAAGAAATGGAAGAGGTTTCGGTTCTAGCAAGCCTTACTTGTATAGATCTCGAGCTTATGGGGGTTTTCTAAGAGTATGATCACAAAAATGCTTAGAAGGAGTGATCTTAACATAATAATGAAGTTATACAACTTAGATATGTAAGGACTTACCAAGGAAAGATGATTTTTGGTGGAAATCTCCTTAAACAACCCTAGATCTTCGAAAATTTGGAGAAGAGAGGAAGTTTTCTAGAGAGAGTGTTCTTGAAAGATTTTTGAAAGAAAATGAGGTGGTGAGGGTGAGGTTCGGCCGAGAAGAAGAAGAGAGAGGAGAGAGGGAGTGAGGTGATGTGCATGGAGATCCACAATGCAATAAGGAGGTGGGTAACTTTCATTAATCCTCTAATTTCCTTTTATTTTTTTCTTTTCTTTTACTCATTGGGCCGAGAATGGGCCAAAGAGAAAGGAGGTGGATTAGCTTGGCCCATTTCTAGCATTGGTTTGAAATTATGAGGCCCAATAAATTCTTTGCGGCCCATTTGAAAGAAGGAAAGGAGTTTATGGCCCATTAAGGCAAATTAATTCATTTATGGCCCAATAAGGCCAATTAGGGTTAGAATGAATCATTCTAGGCCCAAATGGTCCAAAATGTTATAGATTTATGAATTGGGTCACATTAGAATCCAAATAGGGTTTCTAAGCCCAATGTAGTTGGATTGAATGCTTATTGGTCCATTAGGCCCAATAAGGAAATCCTACTCCATAATGAACTTGAACCAGGGTCTCTAGGGTTTTCAACTACCTAATTGACTATTTGGATGCTTTGAGTAGAGTTTTGAACTTCACTTGCGAATTTTGATTAAGTTTGTTGTCATAGAATGAACATAGTGTATGATATCAAGTTAGGGTTACAAGTATTATCATAGATGATGTTTACATGATTACATAATTTCCTGGCTAAAAAATGCCAGTTGTGACAAGAACAGAAAAGAAGAATGAGGAAAGGAAATCGTGATAGTGGCGACTATTCGTCCAAAAGGGCGGTAAGGCGGTAAGAAGAAAAGATAAGGACGAGAAAAGATATGAAGTCTGTGCAGTAGAAGAGAAAGTAAAACTTCAGTGTCGAAATAACGAAAAGTAAAACTTTTGTGGCCAGACATGAAAGAGAAAAAAGGTTACTGCAGACAAGGATTTTAAGAATTTGTAGTATATATAATTGCTTGACAACTTTTGATCCCAAATTGTTTTAAATTTAGTTATTAAAAATGTGTTTATTTTTGTTTTTTGTTAAATTTGTTCATATTTTTCCTCTATCCACAAATTTAGGGGGAGAATTAAAACCAAACAAAAATCATTAAATTAAAAAAAATCCAAAAATATTGTTTTTGAGCGTATTTTATTTTTATTTTTTAATTTGCATTTATTTCAAATTTTTATTTTAGTTTTATTTTATTTCCAACTTTTTTTTAAGAAACGAATTAAAGAAAATGAATTGTTAAATGGATTGGGGCCCACCGAATTCGGTGGCCCAAAGGGCCGAGAACCCATTTTGGGGGTTTAATAGAGTTTTCCTCTTCATTTCATTCATCATCACCGAAATCAACCTTTCTCTCTCTAAACCCTAAACGAAAACTCTCCTCTAATCATTGTTCACTTTTCATCTGCTTCATCCTCATTCTCGGTCCAAATCATCTATTTTTCATTGAATCTTCACAATCTTGACTAGGTAAGTGGATTCCGAGTATCATGCTTCACTTTTTATGACTTTTCTTGGAGTTTTTGCAGGTGCTCAAAGGGTTTCTGACATGGTTGGCGGTGGTTTCCGGCGAATATGTCAAGGGTTTCAAAAATTTGAATCGTCGGGTTTTTGGTTTGACCCGGATCCGATTGAAATCGATCAAATTTGACCCGGATCCAACCGAAATTAGTTCAATCTCTGACCGAAAACAACTTGTTTTGACCGAAAACATCCCCTTTGACCGAAATCTTTAGTTTGACCAACCGAAATCACTTGGTTTTGACCGAAATCACTCAAGTTTGACCGAAATCAATATCTTTTGACCGAAATCAACATTTTAACCAAAATTTGAATTTTTGAGAAAATAAAATTTTAATTTTAATTTTTTATTGTTCTCACTTGATTCGTTTGGTGCAGATAAATGGTGGATCAGTTGAAGTTTGTTGATTCTCACAATATCGCAGGATATCTCTTGGATCCACCTGCCGCACACAATGAATTCAAATCCACGATCGTGGGTTTGAACAATTGCAAAATTTCCCACGATCTGCGTGCCAATCCAGTCATACGGAAGGACCTGATTAACCATTTATGGAGGAATGCATCGTTCAACTGTGTAGGAGCGGATGGTGCTGGTGCTATTGAATCTACTGTGAAAGGCAAGCAGATTATCATTACAGAGAAAGTCATTAGGGAAGTGCTTCAATTTGAAGATCAATCTACTTTCCCAACAGAACTCCCTGCTGCCAAGATCACATAAGTGTTAAAGAAGATGAATTACGAAGAAATTTTTCCTCCAACAGTCAAGAAACTACTTCCCCCTTATTGGAGATTTTTGGCTCATACTTTTGTTAGCTGCATCTCTGGAAGAAAGGGAGGGTCAGACAAGATAAGCCAAACAGAAACATCAGCCTTTGTTGCTCTAACAATGGATTGGGAGTACAATTTCTCAAAGTTTGTCTTTGACGAAATGAAGAGCAACCTTTCTGGGAAAAAAAGGATCTTTTTTTTATGTATCTTCGGTTTTTACAAATGATCTTTGATGCCATGCATCCCGAGCTGGAAAGGACCCCTGATACTCTTGATGTCAAATCCCTAGGTCCAAACACCTTTGGACTCATGAAAAAAGTATGAAAAGCGTCAAAGGTTGTTTTCAATGAAACAGAAGAACTAGTGAAATTTGGAAATTTGGAAATTTTGCAGAAACTGAAGGTGTTCAAACTGCTAGTACTCTAATTGCTATGGTAGCAGAGGAACATGTGGCGCCATCAAAATCAAATCTTAATTTTCGTTTGAGGTTTCGGAAGATGATGATGATAATGATGATGATGATGATGATGATGATCATATGGATTTTCGTATGTTTGTACCATCGAAGGAGCCAGTCAATGAAGCTGTGATTTCTCCAGCTGAGATAGAGAATGAAATCAATATTTTCAAGCAACCAAACAATCCAACGCCCGAACAGATGGAATCCCTTATTGAAAAATTACAGTCAGCTGCTAGGAAGCCTCCCCAAGCAGTTCCTGTTGCTACTGAGTGTCCATTTGGGAGTGATAAAGACGATTCAAATGCCTCCCTGATGCCAAGAAAGCAAAGACGTAGAGATCCAAGGCCGAGAGTGCTTATTATTAAACCAGTACAACAGCCAAATTCAACTGGTGAACCAGCCCAGGTTCAACAAGATAATCAAAGCCCAATCGTTGCACCAGCATAGGTTGATCAAGATGATCAAAGTCCAATTTTTTATATGAAGACTTCTTAGTTAATGAGGAAACTTTTGCCTCGGGAAGTTCTTCTGCCCCACCACCTCCAGAGCACGATTCTGCATTTGTCAAGTTAGCCAAGTTACTTGCTTTTCAAGACTTTATTCCTCAGTCAAGAGGAAAGGGAATATCTATTAGCTAAGGACAAGGAGGTGATGAAGACTCTCAACAAATTATTTCTCAGCTTAAACAAGAGATAGTAATTCTGAAGCAGGAGTCCATTGAGAAGGACATGTTGATTGGAAATTTGAATGTGAGAGTTTCTGAGCATGAAAAGGAGAATTCTCAAAAGAATAAGCAGATCTCAGATCTTCAGGCCAATATTGGTGGGTTGACAGCTCTTTAATTTGATCTCAGAGACAAATTAATTGGAAAATTTGGTGATGAGTTCAAGACTTCATGTTCTGTTGACGGAAAACCTTCAGAGACGTCTGAGAGAGTTGTGGTCTCTCCTGCCCCAGATGCTAATATTGATCAATTTCTGTCTTTTGGCCCTGTCACTGCTGTAGAAAGAAGGGAGAAGAAGAAAAAGGTTGATAAGTTGAAGAAAGACAAACTGCTTCTGCTGAAAAACTCTGATCAGAATGCACCTGGTGATCACCCACAAATGTTTATCAAAGAAATTGGAAAAAGAAAATTTGCTGATAAATATGGTGATCATTCTGGAATTCTCATGTGGGGATATGAAGCTGATAAGAAGATGTGGATTGTAAAGAGAAAGAGCGAAAACATTGAGTACTATGCGAAGAAGATTGAATTTGTGTCTTGGACAAAAGTTGATCTTGCAAAGCTGGTCCACGCACCGTTCCATAATCCCACAAATGATCCCAACGCATGGGCGTTTAAAAGGTTGTTGGAAGACAAAGCAAAGCTGAACTTTGAAGGCTTGAAAACAGCGTCATCGTTCGTTAAAAAGATCAAGGGTGTTATTGATCCACGCACTAACAAGACTATGGTGAATGTTATGTGGCCGCCTACGAATAAAGAGAAGAAGATCCCTATAACTCAGCTTGTACCCGATGACGCTTTGAATGACTTACAATATTGGGTATATGATGAGGCTACAACGACTGTCGTAATCAAGATGATAAAGGATCAGATTCGTCTTGTTGATCCTAGGGATTTTGCTGAAATTTGGCGAGCATGACATTCATACTTTATCCAAGTATCAGAATATGGTAGAAAAGTAAATGTTTGAAGATGCTGCAAAAGCTTTCACCAGCATGATAGCAACAATCATTGATAAGAAGTTGTAGGCAGGAGCATTGGCTAATTCTGATGTTCATCTTGTGGAGAAGCCGTAAAGTCAGCCAACAATAAACCAAGGGGGAGATTGTTGGGTCATATTTATGTGGTTTATGCTGGGCTTATAGTTTATTATTTTACTTGGGCTTAGATATATTTATGTTAGTGGGCTTATTATGTTTTCGGTTATGGGGACCAAAATCACCATGGTGATTTCGGTCAGCTTGGGCTTGGACCGTGTTAAGGCTTTGTATTAGGTTCATATATATAGTTTTTCAGCCGTTTAGGTGAGTTAGTTGTTCATTATTGTGTTATTCGGCTGCTAAGAGTTTCTTTGTGTACCAGACGATTTCATCTAATAAATCGTGTGCATTAAGAGTTATTTTGTGTGTTCTTGAATCACTATTTGATTTATATTCCGCATTCTTTAGATAGTTTGATTGATATCTTTTTGAGTTAAGTGTTTTGGGACTTACAAGCATCACACAGTTTATTGATAGAGATGAGATTATACTGAAGACCTTTTAGATAAGAGACATTCTTGAAAGTAACAGAATTGAACTTTATGGTTTGAAAACCCTTTGTACTTCCTTTGCCATTATTGCCATATGTAACAGTCGGACCATCCTTCTTTATGAAATCTTTTAGGAGAGATTTCAATCTTGTCATATGTTTTAAGCAGCCGCTGTCTAAATACCAAATGTGCTCTTTACCCTAAAACTAATATGTACAATAAGTCCAGAAAAAAAATATACACACAATATACATTGATCCTTTAACAAAGAATCACTAAGAAAGAATGTTATAACAATCATTAGGAAGACAGTTCAGCGAGTTCCCTTTTTTGATCCACTTGTCATTTTGAGTCAAGATATTATCAGCGTGAGCAGTGTTTCTTTTAAAAGAGCACAAGCTAACATTATGAGAGGCATCACCACATCGATAACAAACTTTAATTCCAAGATTTTTTCTTTTAAGATTAGATTTTGAATTCTTTTCACTTGCTGAATCTGAAAAACTTTGATCATTTGATTTATGAATTCCTGATTTAGCTTTGGAACAATGAGTGTTATCAATGGTATGCCTATATACTACCTTGTCATGAGACTTATGATCCTTTGAAGAGTAGTCAGGATTAGAAGGCTTTTACTGATCTTTAGGTTCAGAAATGCTAACTGAGCACTGAGGAAATATGCTAAAAATTTTGTTTACAGAATGAACTTCACCATTACTTATAGGAAATTTTAGCAAAGTCTCAGTAGAGGGAAGAACATACTCACGATGTGAAAGTTGTAGAGAAGGATGTAGAGCATACAATTTAGTAACACACTTAGTAATGCCATTAGAATCAGTAGAGAAATGAGTATCAATTAGGGTTTGATTTATAAAGTGAAAACTGACAAATCTACTTTTGAAGTCTTCTTTTAAACTATCAGCTTTATAAAAGGTTTATGTAGTTTCGACTTTGGTAGAAGATACAACACCTTCTATATCACCTGCAAGGATTTTCTTACACTGATCTGGAATATTAGCATTAATGATTTTTATGACATTAAAGTGAGAGGATGCGCAAAAATTCAAGATAAGTTGAATGCGATTAGCATAATCAACAAGCTTTTCTTTTTCAATGTGAAGAAAATTATTGGTAAGCGATGTACAAGTGTTTTTTTTTAAAGCAGAAAGAGATTTTTCTAGAGAAAAAAAAATTCTTTGAAAATCTTTAGCTCAAGACTAAGAGAAGATTTTTCTTTATTTGAGATCAATAAATTAAAACATAAGATATCAATCGTGTCATCTTTTTCAAGATTAAGAATAGAAGAAGAATTAACATGATCTTTTACCTGATACGCTGATGCATCGTCCCTTTCTGGCTTGAGATTATCAGTGGTAGAAGAATTAGCGTCAAGAATCTCGATGCTATCATGTGAAGCGTTAGCGTGAGATTCAACACTTTGAGCCATAAGACATTTAACTTCATCATGTGAAGATATTTCTTTTTCAAAAGCAGATGATAGAGTGATCATCATATCTTAAGCGGATGAGTAGTTTTGGACAAAACGATAAACATAAAAAGTAAGGGAGTTTCCAATAGCAATTCTAGCTTTTACATCAAGACTTAGCATCCTTTTCTCTTCCTTGTTGTAACATGAACCATGCTTCCCTTTCAGCTTACTTCCAGATGCACCATTGTTTGATGATTGATGTAAAGTGACTATAGGACCTTAGTTGACGATGTCGAGCATATCAAAATCCATGAACTCTAGAACATTCATGGCCTTTGATTTCCAATCAGAGAAGTTGTATTTATCAAATGTAGGGATTTTGTTACAAATAGATGACTTAGGAACTAAGGAAGACGACATGATTACTTGAATGTATCACAAACCCGCTCTAATACCAATTGAAGGTTTGTCAATCATCAGATACACTTTAAGTACGAATGAAATAGAAAATAAATGACACAAGAATTCTATAAATGTTACTTTCACTAAGAAAAGAGGTTTTGTCTTCACAAAGAAGATGGGTTTGTCACAAAGACAATTGACACAAAGCCACAAACTCTAGCACTACACTATGGTTAACCCTAATGTAGTATATATACTAATCTATACATATATATCCCTTGATGAATGGGATTGTATCTAATCTATACTAAGAACCGATCTTATCATAAAGATACAGGATTTGATCTATTCTATATTTATCTATATTAACTGCCGAATATATAAAAGATTACAATAGAACAACTATACTATAAGCTGACGCTGTTGAACTTGTTAAGTTGGCAGTAGCGATGTCGACCCGTAAACGTTGACACTGACGAATCAACATGTTATGTGTTTGACTCATCAGATCATAAGGTGTGACCTTACATTAATTGATATTAATGTGGCGTCTCTAAAAGCACAAATCAAGAAACATTCGAGTGTTGAGTTATCTAAACTACTGCATCGCCTAATCTTACAATCCTATCCTTCCAATCCTGCAACCTATACTAGCATGCAATTCGAAAGGCTCATACAACAGATATACAAATGCATCTCTCCTTGCATTCTATCATGAAATTATGAGCAGATCCTTAGCCTTAATGTAGCATGTTCTACATATATACACATACTGCAACACATAAACATGCATATGTATTCTATTGGCTGATTGCAAGCATCGCACCCCTTTTATTTAGGAAAACCTCTTTTTTGAAAATCATTATCTGATACCAATTTGTAACGTCCTAAAAATACCAAATAAAAATTTTTGTTTTTAAGTCAACCAAAGTAACTATTCTTTCATTCCAAAAGCCCATCAAAGTATGGAATTGTATCAAATAGTTATCAGAGTACAAAACAAGTCATAAAATGCGGAACACTGGTGGATGTGATGCAATCACGTCGATCTCTTCCCGTTGGAACCGCAAATACCTGAAACTTAAACATAAACCATAAGAAAAAATCTTAGTGAGTTCCCCAAAATACCACACACCATAAAAGCATCAGTGCTCGCTTGGCATTCATCAGGCCCCAACTAGTACTCATCGGTCCCTCCCTATACTCATCGGGCCCCACACGATACTCATCTGGCCCCACCCGGTTAATAGGCCCGTCTATAACATATAGTGGGCCCCACCCAACACATATAATGGGCCCCACCCAACATACATAAAAACACATGCAAGAGTCACAAAGACAACTAGCATCCTACAACACAA